TCCACACCAAAATAATCACCTTCTACTCTGACGGAGGAGGAGAATATGTTAAACTCAAACATTTTCTTTCCACAAATGGCATCACTCACCTCACCACTCCTCCACACACTCCTGAACACAATGGTGTTACTGAACGCCGCCACCGCCATGTTGTCGAAACAGGGTTAACACTTCTCCACCAAGCATCCTTACCCCTAACTTATTGGTCATATGCTTTCAAAACTACTGTGAATCTTATTAATAGGATGCCCACTCATGTTCTCAATAATATCTCTCCATACAAAGCTCTCTTTGGTGATCTTCCTAACTACATTAAGCTTCGTGTGTTTGGTTGCTTATGTTTCCCTTGGTTAAGACCCTATAATTCCAACAAGCTTCTTCCTCGATCTCGTCCATGTCTCTTTCTTGGTTACTCCTCTACTCAAAGTGCTTATCTATGTCTTGATCTCCCTTCCCGTCGTATGTTTGTTTCCCGTCACGTTCGATTTGATGAAAACACTTTTCCTTTTTCTTTTCGTGACTCCGTCATCCCTTCAGTTCCTTCCCCCGACTCCACTGCATGGTCTGCTGTCACTCCAGCCGCCATCTCCATTCCTGCTCACATTGCCGAAGTGCCACCAGTTCCATCACACACCTCTTCTCAGCATGCTGCCACTCATACATCTTCGGAGGTCTCGGAGTTGTGTCTCTCCCCTGCACCATCACCATCTGCGACTGCTCACCCCCCATCCCCACATCATCTCATACCCACATCTATCATTCCTTTACCCCCACCACCACCAAATAATTTCAACCATCACCCCATGACCACCAGAGCCAAAAACAATATCTTTAAACCTAAACAACTTTGCACTGCCACCAAACACCCACTTCCTTCTCCCATTGAACCAACATGTGTTTCTCAGGCTATCAAAGATCCTCTTTGGCGTGCAGCAATGTCCGACGAGTTCAATGCGTTAATCCGCAATGGCACATAGGAGCTTGTTCCTCCTCAACCTTCACAGAATCTTATCGGGTGCAAATGGGTATTCCGCATCAAAAGACATTCTGATGGCAGCATTGATAGGTACAAAGCACGCCTTGTTGCTAAAGGCTTTCACCAACGTTCTAGCGTGGATTTCTTAGACACCTTCAGTCCAGTTGTCAAACCCATCACCATCCGTATTGTTCTTCATTTGGCTCTCACTCATGGTTGGCCTCTTCGTCAATTAGACGTGAACAATGCCTTTTTGCATGGATCACTCTCTGAAGATGTTTACATGGTACAACCCCCCGGGTTCGGTGAATCTACTGTTCCAACACATGTCTGCAAACTTCGCAAAGCTTTATATGGCCTCAAGCAGGCACCCCGATCATGGTACAAGGAGTTGAGCACTTTTTTGCTCAATCAAGGATTTGTCAATGCCATCTCAGATACATCTCTCTTTATTTTTCGTCAGGATAATGATGTGATCTTCCTTCTAGTTTATGTTGATGATCTTGTTCTTACAGGAAATAATACCAGTCTCCTCTCTATGTTCATTCAAGCCTTGGCAAATCGTTTTTCTGTCAAAGATTTGGGGAACCTTCATTATTTCCTTGGGGTTGAAGTGCGCCACGGGTTTGTTTCTTTCTCAACATAAATACATCCATGATTTTCTCGCTAAAGCTAAAATGGATGGTGCTAAGGATGTGACCACACCAATGGCTACCTCTACTCCTTTGATTCTCTCTGATGGCTCTCCTCTCACTGATGCTACTACCTTTCGACAACTTGTTGGAGGTCTCCAATACCTCAGTCTCACCCGCCCTGACATCTCATTTACCATCAACAAACTCTCACAGTTCATGCATCGACCAACTGAGTCTCATTGGCAGGCCTTGAAACGTCTCCTCCGCTATCTAAAAGGCACTATTTTTCATGGCATTCTCTTCCGCCGCAGTGCCTCATCTCGTCTATATGCCTTCTCAGATGCTGACTGGGCTGGTGATCGTGATGACCGTAAGTCTACCACAGGTTATGTCATCTATTTAGGTGGCAACTTAATCTCTTGGAGCTCTCGCAAACAACGTTCTGTCGCTTGATCGTCCACGGAAGCAGTATACCGCGCCATAGCCTCTACTACTGCTGAACTAGCTTGGCTTCAATCCCTTCTCCATGAGCTTGGTGTCTCCTCAATGGATAAGCCAACCATTTCTTGCGACAATATTGGGGCAACTTTTTATAGTGTCAATCCTGTTCTTCACTCTCGCATGAAGCACATTGAACTTGATTTTCAGTTTGTTCGTGATCGCGTCAATCGCGGGCTTCTTCAAGTTTCACATGTTTCTACTCAGGATCAGCTTGCAGATGTCCTCACAAAAGCTCTTCCTCGTCCACGCTTCCAATTGTTACGATCCAAGATCGGTGTCTCTGACGGGACCACCATCTTGCGGGGGCGTAAAAGGGAATCTTCTTCTCAACACATTGATTGCTTGTCCACTAGCCTTTCATGAGTACTTCCATTAGACATGCCTTTCATAATTTTGTCTAGTCCACTAATTGTCCATTAGTCTTTCTTTACTATTTCCATTAGTTGTTGTCCGCTCCTTTGGCTCCTATAAAGAGCATCTCTATTGTAAATCATAATATAGAAATACAATATACATTTTATACTCACCTTAATTGAAACTATATCACGGTTAATCACATAGTGGATACATGAACGAACATAAGCAAGAAGTAGATAAGGAATGTTTTTCTATATTGTAAAGAAGCAATGAATATTGCTAAAGTCTACATTTACATGCATAATCCGATCTGGGGTGACAATAATTCTCCCTCCTCAATCGGAAAAAAATGTGTAAATATTCCATTGCACAAAATTGTGACAATCACAGAGACGAGTTCATGTAATCGTTCTCCATTATCCAATCTCACAATGCTTTCAAGCGACAAATAAGATCAAGGAAGGCATCTTGTCTGCAGGGGACTGTTAGACCGCCCATTGGGTGATCAAATCCGAATTCCTCCTCAGCGTCACTCAGCAAGTCTTGAAATGCAGGGTGGTTGAGGAATGATATAGGAACAACGAACCGCTGCTTCTCACTCTCGCCAACATAAACTGGAAAATAACCTTTAGGGACATCTGCTAAATTATATGACGCTCCTTGACTTGAATTTGAAAAAGATCGCTGAAAAAGTTTCTTAGCAGGAATCACAGCTGGAAGACGGAACCCCATGTTGTAAATCTTGGGAGTAAAGACTTGTAATCAAGTTTACAGAGACTTGAAGAAGATCACAAGGAATTTCGGAACGAGGAAACTTATACTGAGAAGTTGTAGACTTACTTTGGTGGTCATAAACCTATGCATTCATATGGTATATATAGTTGAAAAGTCTTGTAAAATATCCTCATGTATTAAGGAAAACATATGGTGAAGACAATCCGGATGGGGTATAGAAGGGAATAATAGCTCATGAGGGATCACATGGTTCTGTCTTCCCATCAATCCTTTAGGCAAAATATACGGATCAAATTAACAATTTCGCTTCCCGTCACATATTTTTGTTTGTTAGGAGGCAGATATGAAGTCTCAATCACTACCAAGGAGTGTTGGTGATGAATAGGAAGACCAAGCCATGTGAACTTTGATCCAATGCTATATGTCTCTTTAAAATCCCAAATCAATTGCTTCAAGACCACTCACATCAACTACTTGAGATATTGTTCGACAGATCGGTCCTTTTATTTCTTTCTGTTTGGACACGAAATAAAAAGCAAATTAGTTACCAAGTGGTTCAAAAACTTGAATGTTTAATTAGGCAGCTGAAGAAGAAAATGCTTGTCTTCAGTATGTCTCTGATTTTCTAAGCTTATATTTATCCTTGCAAAAGGCTTCAATTGTTTATTTTAGTTTTAATCTGACATCTGATTTTGCTTGAGCTGATTTCTTTTCATTGGGTCCATCCTGGTGGCTTATCACCAATGATTTTAGTCAACAGATGGCTTTTGACACGCCAATTTATCTACAAGTACAATTATACATACATATGATAAGAGTAAGAAGCAAATTAAAAGCACGATTATGCTAATTCCCAACTACTAATCATCTCAAATCTTTCTTTTCTACAAGCTGAGTATTCAATTGAAATTTACATTGTTGGTTTTCTTGTTAAGAAATTTTAAGCAACGGGTTTCCGTTTGCCTGGTATTGCTCATGCTAAGAGAAACAAAGTACCTTCGAAGGCCTTGGACGTTCCTAAAGACCTTTTTGAGTCTATGTTGGGGAGGGCCCAAATAAGCTAAGCGATATGTGATTCCCATCTCATACTTGAACCAACCTTTATTCCAAGATTTGATAAGTCGAACTGAAGAAGAATTTGGGTATGATCATCCCATGGGTGCTATCACAATCCCGTGCAGTGAAGATACCTTGATTTCACCTCTTGCTTCAGTGTATAAGAAGAAGGTTACGTAGGCTTCATTTATCGGCTTGTACAAAAGCGAGTTGCCTACTCGGACAAATTTTTGGTTTCAATTTTTGCATCTTCCGACGGAAGAGGCTTTTGATAAATTCATTAGATACAATTTCAAACCCTTGGGAGCTGAGGATACAAGTTCATATTCTCAACTAATTCTTATGAACTTTCCTAATAGATTTCCAAATGAAAGGCTAATGAGGTTGTAAATAAGTTCTTGTATACTCAATTATGCCATTGTTGTCTTTATACCGGTTACACTCACTAGCCTTGCGAGGATACCATTAACACGACCATTAGAAGTGCACGTCATTTATGTGCTCTAAACACCTAAAGCTAAGTACCTTGAGTGGGCTAGACCGAATGGAAGGAGGGTTAGGGGGAAGGATTTAAGACTTTGCTGGAAACAACGAGCTTTTTATACGTTTTTAACATTTCTAAATGTCATGGGAAATTTTCATGTTCAATCATACACCTCAAGGATTAACAAATTGCAGTCGCAATTAGACATGAAACTATGAGAATCTGTAGAAGAAATTTATCCATTTACAAAATCCTATTCCAGGGGGACAATAATTCTTTATTGTAAAGAAGCCATGAATATTACTACAGTCTCCATTTACATAATCGATTCTTGGGGGACAATATTTCTTTATTGTAAAGAAGCTATGAATATTACTAGAGTCTCCATTTACATAATCGATTCCAGGGGTACAATATTTATTCCTCCTGGATCGAAAAAAAAATGTACAAGATGGGGATATGTCTGGTGTACCAAATTGTAACAATCACACAGTTGATGTAATTGTTCTCCATTATATATCCAGTCTCACAATGCACTCAAGTGGGAAATGAGATCAATGAAGGTATCTTGTCTGCAGGGAATTGTTAAACCGCCCATTTGGTGATCATATCCGAATTCTTCTTCAGCCTCACTTAGCAAGCCTTGAAATGAAGGCTGATTGACGATGGATATAGGAACAACGAACCGCTGCTTCTCACTCTCGCCAACATAAACTGGAAAATAACCTTTTGGGACATCTGCTAAATTATACAAAGCTCCTTGACTTGAATTTGAGAAAGACAGTCGAAGAAGTTTCTTAGCAGGAATTATAGCTGGAAGACGGAACCCCATTGTTGTGAATCTTGAGAGAAGACTGGTAATTGAGTTTAAATAAACTGGAAGATCTCAAGGAACTTGTGAAACAAGGAAAATTAAACGTGATGTTGTATACTTAATTTGGTGGTCAATGTCATTAACCAATGAGTTCATACGGTATATATAGTTGAAGAGACTTGTACAATATCTTCTATTGAAGAAAATATATGGTGAAGGCAATCCGGATGGGGTATAGAAGGGAACAAGAGCTCATGAGGGATCACATGGTTTTGTCTTCCCGTGCTTAAAGGCCCTTTAAGCAAACTATGTGGATCAAATTAACTATTTCTCTTTCCATTATTTATTTTTTATTGTCAGGCAAATATGAAGTCTCAATCCCTACCAAGGAGTCATGGTGTTGAATCAGAAGACACAGGAACTTTGATCAAATGCTGATGTGCCATACCTGTATTAACTCAATTGATTCACGACCACTCACACCAACTTGATAGGATTTTTACCACACATGCAAAAAGGGTTAAAAACACCTAAAATACTTGCAAAAGAAACAAGGTTGTCTACTCTGATAAATATTGGGTTCCAAATGTCGCTACAAAAAAATGGGCCTTTTGAGACGGTCAAAACGTGTCGCGAAAGCATCTAAAAGCGTCGCGATAGCCCTTTTATGACGAACTTGCAACGGCCAATAACGCATCGCAACAAAATGGTGTCGAAAATGTTTGGTCTATTGTACGCGATGCTTTGAGCACGTCGCAAGTACTATTTACTACGGCTTGTGACGGCTACCTATGCGTCACAAATAAGTGGCCTCGGGTTTAAAAAAAACTTAGGCGTCAAATGGGACCCCACAATGACATTATTTTAACAACTTCACTAAAATTATTTTATGTGAAATTTACTATAGGTTCCAAATTAAAATAAATTATGTAAATTTCTATAAACTACTGTTTGGACCCAATTTTACAATATTGGCCTGAGCAATCAAGACCGTTGAATGAGCAAGATTATGGGCCGTTGGATGACTCCGAACATTCAGAGGCCGTGATTTTGCATGCATTCGGCCTACATATTTAAAGCCGTTGGATGACGGAAACGAAGGAAACTATATTAGATGTTACTATTTTATTAGTAATTTTAATATGGTGATTTATCTTATGATTACATCTTGAGAGTTAAACAAATGAAGGAGGTTACATTGCAACAAGGACTCTGTGGTCACGTGTTGTGCAACTTGGTTTGTTCGCGGCTTGATCAATGCAGAAAATCAATAATTATCAGGATTTAGGAATATTGGGATATGCATAAGGCAAGGCAGCAGATAAATATGTATGCAGGATGGGATGATTATCATATAAAGTACAAATGGTATATGCCTTTTGATGTTTTGGTTTTGGCCACGTGAATGTGCTTTTTGGGATTATATTCCATCTTATTATGCGTGCATGGCTACACTTGAATCAATGTGGTGGAAATAGAGTTCTAGTTGTACTAGGTGACAGTCTGAGGGCACGAGTTTTTTGGAAGGAAAACATGGGCTTTTTGAATAATGGTGAAGCAAAGTCAGATGATGATGGCATCTAAAATAGAGGCTTTCGCTTATCTTAAGAAGTCTTTATCTGAAGTTCTAGTTGACGAGTTTGAATTGAAATCAAATTCTACACTAGTGTGAAGCTGCGCCGCAACATTTGCTTCTATAAATACAATGTCGCGGGCATCATCCAAGGACTATCTCCAACTCAACACACAAACTGCCTTACGCAAACCCTCGCTCTACGCAAAACCTCTCAACAACCTTAAGATTTTTATTTTCTTTTTCGCCAACACATCTTCAGTTTGGATAAACAACACTATGAAGGCAACCGGCGAACATCTTCAGTTTGGATAAACAGCACTGCCGTCATAGAATCAGCCGACCGTGAAGCACCTTCAATTTGGATAAACAACATTGCGTCAAGGCCGACTGGTTATCTATCCAAGTCTTGGTCGAGAAGGGTTTTCGAATCCTTATTGGCAGAGGTCATTTCACTAGCCTTCTCAATAAAGTGAGGTGTTACCAATCACTGGACTTGGCGTATTGAACGCCAAGTTATTTTATGATTAGATACTCACAAGTTGGATTTAGAGTTCGGCATTCTGACGGCCGAACCACATTTACGATTAAGACGTACGTCTGCTTTGAATACTTGTGTCCATATAGTCTGGTGTCGATTTGGTATGCTTATACTCTTACGAATATAATCACCGTGACCGAATCCAACACCGACGATTTGTGAACTTCGTAGAACTAGTAGCCTTGTCTTCAGGCTCTAGAACCCAAATGCCGAGACGTGTTCCTTCCTCGACCGCAATCGCAAGATTGAGAAGTTAGCAGCGCATTCGACGTAGCATCAACATATTTTACTCCTCGGCCGAGCTCGGCCGACAAGTTGGCACGCTTGCATACAACCGAATGACGTAATTAGCTCCTTAGTTACTCGGCTTGCGCGCCACGTAGGCTTGTTAGTTTTTAGGGTCAACAACTACACACAAATTGTTATTAATAATGAACTATAAATTAGGTAAATTTTAATACAATGTATTATCATATAGAAGTACCAACAAAAGTATGAAATCAACTGCACTTGTACTTAAAGTTAGTTGAATGGTCGTATCAATTATAGTATTACACACCAACGACATCATGTAGTCTTTATCTAGAACTTGCAACAAGTGACATTTTTGATACAGATTGCAAAGCTCCTGACACATATGAACACACATCGCTAGAAATAGATTGCGAAGCTCCTGACACATATGAACACATAGCGCTAGAAACAGATTGCGAAGCTCCTGAAACATATGAACACACAACATAAGTAAAATTATACATGTCCAACTTGTAGGGAAGACAAAGTTGACACTCATATCACCTGCTTTGAATATTTCAACTTTCCATGGAATTCATTGTAATCTCCCTCTTTAAGTGCCCTCAAACAACTGAATTTTTACAAGAGGAAACACAACATTTTCCAAGATACTTAAACACTAACATATATTACGATTTCTTCACTTATATGGGACATTCCTATTGCAAATAGTATATCAGATATATCATGAAAACTGGTACTTGTAGAATTAAACTAGCAAGAAAAATGGCTAACCAGAATGTCACATCCCGACCCGGGCCCCCACCACATTCCGGGCTTGACTCCACCATAGCACGATATTGTCCGCTTTAGGCCCCGACCACGCCCTCACGGTTTTGTTTATGGGAACTCTCACAAGAACTTCCCAGTGGGTCATCCATCATGGGATTGCTCTCGCGCAAACTCGCTTAACTTTGGAGTTCTGATGGAACCCAAAGCCAGTGAGCTCCCATAAGGCCTCGTGCTAGGTAGAGATGGGAATATACAAAGACAGCTTACAGGATCCACTCCCTTGGGCGATGTGGGATCTTACAAGAATGTCAAACATGTCCATTGCATATAAATCCTTGGCAATACAAATCCAGAGCATGCATACAACCAGTTTGTTGCAATGACCCAATCAAACCTTTATACGGTTTCCTCTGCCTCATTGCATTTTCCAATGTGGGTGTGGATAAACGATATGTTGATTGAGTCTCTTCCACTGACAAACTTTTGGAACCAAAATCCATAGAACTCGAGGGCCTTACTCCAGTTTCCCTCATGCTCGAAGGTAATGATTTGAGAGCTCAACTTTCAATACCATCACCACAACACAAGAAAAAGAAAATCCAAATATAAGAATATTCATATGTTTTGAATATAATTTATCGTTGGGACCTTGGACAGTACTATACAGAGCCATGCTCACAAATAATAGTGTTTACCTACACAGGGACATCCTCAAAGCAGAGTGATTAACCAAACTCTCCACCATACCCTGAATGAATTGGAAACCTAGTTGAAATTACACATTTCATCTAACTCTGGGACCAAAAATTAATCATATTTTCACAATGAAGAAAAGAGCATTCTACCCAATTATATCGCTTTTGATAAACTCATGGGCTACAATTTCAAACCGCTTGAGAGCTGAGGATAAAAACGGTCAGCCAAACAGACATAGATTAATTGACATCACCACAAGCATGTAATATGAACTTGAAAAATATCATACATTTGTACTTGTTACTTGTTCTGCAAAGATAGTTGAGAATGTATTATATATTTTCCTTCTTCCCTTGGTCATTTCACGTTTTTTTTGTTGAACTGGCCGTGAAATGTCACTTATCACCCCAGGGAACAACTTAAAATATATACAAGTAACAATCCTTTGATCTCACCAAATGGATACTAGTACTAACTACTAATCCATGTTTAATCCTGCATTACAAGCATCGATGAATCAAGTCAGAGAATTCACCCGTTGCCCCTAATTCTTGTATACTGTCCTTATATATGGATTTCCAAATGAAGGGCTAACGAGGTTGTAAATGAGTTCTTGTATACTCAGTTCAGCCATTATTGTCTTTAAACCTGCTAATGGGCTAGACCCAATGGTTAGGGGAAAGGATTTAGGACTGCGCTCGAAACAATGCTTTTTATAAGACTTTTTTACATTTCTATATGTCATAGGAAATTCCCATGTTCAATCAAATTAAAGTCGCAATTAGATATGAAGGAGATTACTCCTGCTCAAAGTTTTGAATGCTATCTAGCACATTAGTATACTAACAGCTATTGAAAGTGATCCAAATGGAAACTCAATTATGAGAATCTGTAGAAGATATTAATCCATTTACATAATCCGATTCCAGGGGGACAATAATTCTTTATTGTAAAGAACATATGAATATTGCTACAGTCTACATTTACATAATCTGATCCCAAGGGGACAATAATTCTTCCTCCTGGGTCGAAAGAAAATGTACAAGATGTGGAACTTTTCCAATGTACAAAATTGTGACAATCACAGAGTTCATGTAATTGTTCTCCATTATGCATCCAGTCTCACAAAGCACTCAAGCGGGAAATGAGATCAAGGAATGTATCTTGTCTGCAGGGAATCGTTACACCGCCCATTGGGTGATCATATCCGAATTCTTCTTCAGCCTCACTTAGCAAGTCTTGAAATGAAGGCTGGTTGAGGATGGATATAGGAACAACAACCGCTGCTTCTCACTCTTGCCAACATAAACTGGAAA